TTGTAACTTGGCATCACAGCTAGATTTGCCGAGCCTGATCTTTCAGCGCTGCACTCCACTGTGGTGGAATATGGGGTGCAGTGTAGTACTTCTTGGCACAAGCATAATTCAAAAATGCTTTTATGATTTCCCAATGCTTTTGAGTTCAAATTCCTTGCTAAAAAAAAAGTGTGGGATTGCTGGACCTAATCAAAGGAATATGATTAAAAGAAAATGTTTTACTTACTTGTGAAAACAGCTGAACTGTTGCATTTGGCTGAAATGCAACCTCTTCTGTCTCATGTCCCCTCAAAAATAGTGAACCAGCACATGTAGAATATCAGCAGAAACTGTTAGTGCTTTGCCAAGTCGTAAGCAAGGAAAGACAATGGGAAATGTCTGATAAACTTGATAGGCTTTTTCCTTGTTTTCCTTTTTTTTTTTTTTTTCTTTTCTGTATCACAGATTGTTCTTCAACTCCCTGCTAGAGTTTTTGCACCCTTTGAAGTGTTCTATGCTTTAACCAAGGCCATGGTTCCACTCATGCTGTCCTTTCATTTTTCTCACAAACCTGCAGCAAAGATCTATAAAATAATTTCATTTCGAGAAGAAGGGTAGCAGCTCCCAGGTAAAGTCACTGTCCATGTCAACTCACAGTTGGTTTTTTTTGCACCGTATCTTCTGTTGAAATAGGCTGTTAATTTTATTAAAACTTTTCGAAAATCAATTCTTTCCTAGACTGGAAGGAGATATTCTACCTGGGGAGAACCATGATCTTTGTTTTATTCTTGGTCTTACCTGATTTTTTTTCTTTTTTAACTAGAAAAACTTATTAGCACTTTTTACCTAGAGCAGTGTAATCGGGTTCAGTATTGACAGCTGCTCTGTGGTGACAGTACTTTTCTCTCTTTTTGCTCGATTCTTTCACACAGAATCACAGAATCACAGAATCTTAGTGGTTGGAAGGGACCTCTGAGATCATCGAGTCCAACCACAAAACAAAACAAACACCAACCAAAACAAAACACACCACACCACACCAAACGTCCACCAAAAACACCGCACCCACCAACTAAACCCCGCACTCAACACCTCAGCATAAACCAACAACCTTGGGCACTAGAGCATGCCCTGAAGAGCCATGTCTATACGTTTCTTAAATACCTCCAGGGATGGTGACTCCACCACCTCCCTGGGCAGGCTGTTCCAGTGTCTGACCACTCTCTCAGTAAAGTAATTCTTTCTAATATCTAATCTAAACCTCCCTTGCCGCAACTTCAGACCATTTCCTCTGGTCTTGTCGTTCGTCCTTTGGGAGAAGAGGCCAACATCTGCCTCTCTACAACCTCCTTTCAGGTAGTTGTAGAGGGCAATGAGGTCGCCCCTCAGCCTCCTCTTCTCCAAACTAAACATGCCTAGTTCCCTCAGCCTCTCCTCATAGGACTTGGTCTGGAAGCAGTTGTTTCTTGGCATATTGTTATCTAACCTTATGGCAACTTTTGCTAGTTTTTGTTATGGTGTAGTTACATTTGGTGAATCTAAGGAAGATGTGAATCACTAGAGGAAATTCTTTAATTAGTGACTACCATAATATGTAAATGTTGTATTCTATGGTTGATGCAGACAAGTGGAAAGCCTGTATTTTAAACTATTGGTTTTATTTAACAAAGTTTTTACAACACAGTGAGCATTTATTACATATTTTTAGCAGTTAAGTTTAGAGTGAAGAAAGAATAGAGCTTTATTATTTGTGTTAAGTGCCTTAAGCTCTTTCTTGTAAACAAATATAAGTATGCTTATCTTCAGATGCCGCACACGAGGACTTGGTATTCTCATGAATGAGTATATCCTCCAAGATTAAAGCTCTACTTATAGAGCTGTTGCAAAAACATTTTATTTTGCCAATAAAATTATATATTTTTTTAAATTAAAAAAAAATGCCTGTGCCTGTGTAGCATCTGTAGCTCATTATTGACTTGCTTTGGCTTACCATTCTTCCTAGTTTTGATTAGGCACATCATCTTGTAGTGCTCTTGGTTATTTTGCGGTTTTGTTGATGTTGGTAATCATCTCTGAAGTGCGTTGGTTTTCTGCAACTACTAGTCTCCTAACTAATATCAGTGTTTACCACAGCTGTATAGCAGTCATTGGTGTGTGTTCTTATGAAGTTGTCAAAGCCCTTTTTTGAATTATCATTGTGATTTCTCCATATTTTTGAATGGAATGTAGTTTTCTTGTAGCCATGAATTTGGTACTGAGTTTTTTACTTTGGTATATTTCTTAAACTTAAAAAATATAATAAGAATAAACACACACTTTAGTGCTTATGAAATATGTTCTTTGCTTTAACAGAGTGCAACTTCTGGTATCTCATCAACATTTCTATGGATTATATTAATTCTAAAATTTAAATATAACTATCTAAATATTTCCAAATCTGCATCTATTTTTAATTCTGCACCTACTGGTGCATAATGTTTGGAACAGTTGCTTAAGGTTCTTTGTTTTTATTGCCATCAATAGTGTAATTTGTGTTTACTGCTTTGAGAACTTAACACCCTAAGTAATTAAAGCAGTAATGGATTATCTTTTTGTAATTGCTTAGTTCCTTGTTGGTACACATCTTGCTGTGTGCCACTGGGTAAACTCCCTCATTTCTCTTTGTATCCCATGTGTCCTTTTCAATTTTTTTCTCCTGTTTTGCACTGTCATAGCCTCAGAGTTTATAAATGCTTCCTGAGACAGACTGAAAGTAATGTTTAAGATGCATTCTGACAGAAACTGAGCACAAAGTTATTTTTTCTGATGCTTTTTTGTTTTAGATTACTGTAAAACTTTATTTTGTAGCAAAGCCTTCTGCCTATGTCCCACCTATAGGTCTCCATCCCAAACAGTGACCTGGTGCACACCCTGCTTCCTAGCATTGTCTGAACCCATGGGAGAAGGAGATGCCTGATTTGGTCTGAAAGCTCCTGGTGTACCTCTTCTATCTAGGGAGATAGCACTTGTCTCCCACCTGAGATAGAGGTTTGCATGGACACCTGAAATTCTAGCAGCTCCTCAGATACATCTGAAAACTTTATGTGAACCAGGCACCCTAACTCACTGCAGCAGTAGTAACGCCCCCTTTTTGCTTATGAAGGTTGTAGCTAGAGCTACTTTTCCAGTAAGTAGGAATATTGGGCCTAGGCTCTCGCCTGCTGAAGGGGATATGAAATCTCTATTTTCTACAAGCAGACTTCCTGCTTGCAAAGGAGTAGTCTGGGTTGCAACATGTTCTGCCCTTCATGTTGGAGTTGTTCTGCTTTATGGTCAGGGGTTGCTACAGACAAGCGGATGAAGTATGGGCTGGATGAGCAGACAGTGAGGTGGCCCAGGGAGGTGGTTGAGTCACTGTCCCTGGAGGTATTAATCAGATGTGTAGATGTGGTGCTTACGGACGGGGTTTAGTGGAGGGCTTGGCAGTACTAGGTTAATGGTTAGACGTGATGATTTTAAAGGCCTTTCCTAACCTAAACAATTCCATGATTCTGTGTCTGAAATCTGGCTGAAGAAATGGGCTGCCTGGAACCTCACGAAGCTCAGCAAGGAGAAGTGCCAAATCCTGCAGCTGGGGAGGAACAAGCCTCAGACACCAGTACAGGCAGGGGGCTGACCAGCTGGAGGGCAGCTGTGCAGAAAAGGCCCTGGGTGTCCTGGTGGATGCCAGGTAGAACATGAGCTAGCAATGTGCCCTTGCGACAAAGAAAGCTAGTGGTATCCTGGGCTGTGTCAGGAGGAGTGTAACCAGCAGGTCAAGGTAGGTGATCCTTCCCTTCTGCTCAGCACTGGTGTGAGTACTATGTCGAGTTCTGGTCTCCCCAGTACAAAAGAGACATGGATGCACTGGAGAGAGTGCAATGAACAGCCACAACAATGATTAAGGGAGCATATAGGAGAAAGCTGAGAGAGCTGGGACCATTCAGCCTGAAGGAGAGAAGGGTCAGGGGGGAGCTTATCAATGCCTGAAGTGAGGGTGCAAAGAGGACAGAATCAGGCTCTTTCCAGTGGTGCCCAGTGATAGGATAAGAGGCAGTGGGCACAAACTGAAATGCAGGAGGTTCCCTCTTAACATTTTTTCACTGTGAGGGTGTCTGAGCACTTCAGCAGGTTGACCAGAGAGGTTGTGGACTTTCCATCCTTGGAGATTTTCAAAAGCCATCTGGGCATGCTCCTGGGCAACTGGCTCTGGGTGGCTGTGCTTGGGTAGAGTGGTTGGACCAGATGACCTCCAGAGGTCCCTCCCATTCTGTGATTCCCTGAATGATGGCAGCAGTGCTTGAGGCAAGAGGAGTTTTGTTTTCTGTCATCTTTCTCCTGGAACCCTAGATTCAGCTGCAGCTTTAGAAGAAATCATTCTGCTTCTTTGCTTTCTTCCTTCTTACCCCAGAGTTGTAGGGGTTTTGGCTGCACAGCAGTTTACCTTCAAAAATCAAGCCAAAGAAAGGTGCCTTCCCTTGCCTTTGCAGTGTTCTCAAGTCTGATGGCTGCCACATTTACCTGGGAGAAAACCAATGTGAATTCATCCTCTCTTGGGTGGATGATGACCTGGAAGTGTTGCCTACCTCCTGAAAAATTGTTTTATTAGATGATGATGAACAAGAGATGTGGATCATTCCTTCTCCTGCAACAACCTTCAAAAGAATTCCCTCTGCTGAGATTTCAAGTGGATATAGATATATTTCTTACCAATTCTTTACACAGTCCTTGGAAGGTAAATTAGTTAGGTGGATTGGATTGTCCTCAGAAGGATTTCAGTTGCACTTAGCCCTTTCTTCTTTATAGGATACATATACATGTTTCTTAGGAAAATGGCATCAAATTTCTACTGTCATGCAGGAAAGAAACGCTTAGACAAAGCAATACTCAAACACAAGTGAGAAATGCTGAATAGCATTATTAACTCTTACACAAAAGCTGACAAAGTGTTACAGGGGCATCTTTACTTGAAGTGTATTCTTTTTGCTCTTATTTTATCACAGCACTTCCTGCCCATCGCTCCTCAAAAGGAAATGTTCAGCTGTTTGATTTGGATGTTTGTCCTGCTCTGCAGCTCGGTAGCAGGTATGTTTCTTGATTATTAGCACCTCTCTCTTACCATAAAAACCTTTTCCAAAAGGTGACCTTCGCCAAATGAAATTTCAAAGAGTTACGAAATTTCAAAGAGTTATGAAATGAAAAAAATGTATTTTAAACAGAGAAATGAGTAGGTGACTCACTAAGTAGTGGACAGTATGGAGAGAAAACTTAATTTATGGCACTCTTGATGTCCTCTCATGGAATGTTAATTGTGCTCATGATAGCCTGGGTTTGCTCTCTTTTGTATTTGAAGTATTTAAAAACTTTGTTAACTGTTTCCCGGTTGCATAGGATAGAGAAGGAGAATCTGCATCTGGAAGCCGTAACATAGTTCAATTCTTGTTGAGCTGGTGGTAACTTTGGAGATCTGCTGATGGAACAAATCAATCTTTATGTAACACATGAACACTTAAAATACAGCTAATGTCTGCTGGTTTTGGACTGTTTTAAGTCACCTATTACCTATTCAGAGATTCATGCAATGCTACTAATGTTCTCATTCGGAATTGTTAATGTCACCTAACAATGTGTGACTATTGATTTTTATTTATTTTTTTCTTTAATGTGGTAGCATCACGGTCAGTTTGAGCCAGTGCAAGTACCTTCTGAAGTTGGAAGAGCAGGTAGTTCTGCACTCCCTCTGCCTCTCATCTCCCTCTTCTTCCGCTGGAGTCCCCCTGAAGTGGTGAAGAGTCTGATCTGGAGGCAGAAAAATGTTATTTTTGGCCAAGATTTTATTTTTCATCTGTATCAGTTTCCTTTTGGTTCACTACACAGGCACTTTTTCTGGGGTACAAAGGGGATGAGAGCAGTGAATGAGTGGTTGAGGGTTAAACATGCTGCTTGTGAGAACAATGCCACTTTAAACTGATTAAGTTGAATAGTATAGGTTAGAATAGGAAATCGCAAGGACGGATTGAAATAATGACTTTGTGACTATAGTTGAAAATTCATGTGCCATTTATCACATACAACTTAACACACAAGAGTAATTTATTATATAATAGTATTTGTGCTTTAAATTGGGGATCAGATGAAAGAGGGGTAGAAGCTTGAACAATATATGAAATAGTGCAGGTAATTGCTTACAACTGGTATACAGTAAAATTTGATGCAGTAGAGTGCAAAATAGCCATTAGCACGACTGTGAAACAGAAAGAAATTACTTTAAAACAAAAAGGACGCAGAAAGAAACATCGAAAGAATTTTAGAGTTAATACACCCAAAAGGAGAGGATTACCAGAAAACTAGGAAGAAAGTTTAATATTTGATTCTCTTTCATTCCTACATTCTAGCAAAGAAATTCTATCTGTAAAAGTTGGGGGTTTTTTGTTTTATTTAACAGATTTATTTATGAAATTTGGCTTCAAAAATAAGTAACAACAAAAAATTAGACTGTTACCTCCTCGCAGGACTCTAATGGATGATTTTTGCACTATTTGATAACTTTGTTTCTGAATTCATTCTGAATTCATTCATTCCTTTTGCACGTGTTTTGCATACAATTCCCGCACTGTGTCTGGGAATATAAATTCTATGAGAGGCAAAAGTACTAATGAGATACTTACAATTTACCAGTTTGACTTATTTTCTGATATAGGAATTAGTAGTTATAACATCTAAATGATATGCATATCTTTTACATATAGGAGTTTTTTTAAAAAACAGATTTAAAAGGTAAGAGTGTCTTTTTTTTTTGTTTGTTTGTTTTCAGATATTAAAAAATAATTGAGTTTAAATTTTTCCATTATTTCTGGGAAGGTATGTAAACGTCACTCTTATGTAATACCTATGTTAATAGAGTAATTAATGTGAACTAAGCTTCCAAATGGCAATACCTGATTCAAGTGACTAACTGACCTTTTTATTTGAACTCCATATGAAAGAAGAACTAATTAAATGATCTGTAGATAACAAAAACTAGTTATCATTTTTCCACTGGTATTTTAAAAGGAATTAGATTATGTGATATCTTTGATTTTGTTTTTAGATGAAAACTCTATCAGAGATGCTGACATTTTTCCTTCATCTCCTGAAATTGAAAGAGGATCCACCCTAAAACTGTCTTGTGTCCTTGGAAAACGCTACGCACACCACAGAAATGCAAGCCACATCATCTGGAAATTGAATCATGAATTAATTGCTCAGGAAAATTATAACATTGTGAACGAGACTGTATCTAGTGTAGCCATCCATAATTTCACTTACAGCAAAGCTCATGTGAAATGTTTCACTAAGTACTTGGGGAAGGAACAACTTCTGGTTCACACTGAAGTTAAATCTGGATGTAAGTAGAAATGCAGAAAAAATGAATGTTACATTTTTACATTTTTTTATAACTTACCGTAAACTATTTACTTTTAGAGCAAATACCTTTTTTTTTTTTTTAACTTGTGGCATTGTAAGTCACCTTTATTCAAGTTGTTTGTGTTTTTTTTTTTTTTTGTTTTTGTTTTTTTTTTCTGAAATAAAGCATGAAATTACAGTCATTCTTTACTGACACTGGTCCGTAACTTCTCTGACTCTGACATTTGGCCAGCTGCAGTGAGTGGAGGTTTTCTGTTGAGTTCAGAGGATAGCGGGTCTGTCCTTCAATTATGTCTTTTGTCTAGCCTAGCCAACTTTTGCTTTCTTCAGGGACAATTCCCTCTCTAATCCTCTGTTCCATAGAAGTTATAATTACAGTCTCTTACGGAGAAGGTTACAGGATAAATTCGTATAAAAACTCTCTAATTTATTGAACACATTAAATCCAGATTATACTAATGTATGCCATTCTAGTAAAGAAGCAATAAATGCAGGAAAGTTACGTCTGTGGAATAAAAACAGGAGAAGGTGTTCCTTATCATTAGGTGGGACAGAAAAGTAGTATTTTGGATAGAGGTCTTTTTCAACCAGTTTATTTCACTGGGAACAGTTCTCTTCCTTTCAACTCAAATTTCTTCTATCGAGTGAAGAAGACTGGCTTTAACAAAGAGGTCTTTGAGGGTGTCACATGGTTATGGGTAATTTCGGACTATAGAGATTGCAGAGGATTGTTTCTTTCGTGCTATCGTGCTCATAAGATAAATAGAGTCCAGAATTAGTCATGTCTTTGAGGCCATATAGATATGTTTCCCAGGAAGTTGTCTTCTGCACTTTGAGATCGTGCAGAAGCCTCAGAAAAACCTCTCCTTAGATTAGAGGTTTTCATAGGGTATGTGGTTAAACATTCTGGGAAGGAACCAAGAGGAGTTTTATCTCTCAGAGAATGCCTCTTGCTGAAGTTTTGTGCTTTTTCTTTGTTTTCTTCTTAAATTTCTGGGCTGGCCTTGAGCTACAGGCATGTTGCAGGCGATATACTGAGAGATTCAGGGCAATGTATGTAGTGGTTTGATGTAAGGTAGTTAATGAGTTACTGCTAAAAGATCTACAGGCCCACTTAGTTAAGTACTTCTCATAAGTGGTCGGAGAAAATGTCCCCGTTTCCCCAGGGGAAGAAAGAATGGTTTTCATTTTGGTTTTGTGAGGAGTTTTGAGGGCAGTAAGAAATGATAAAAATGAAGTGCTATGTAAGACACTTAGTGAAGTTTGCCATAATCTGCTTTTTGACAAACAAAGTCAGTTGTACATTAAAGTTACTTAGTTAATTTTATTTTTTTTAACCTGTGTCATTGTAGTTCCACCAGACACACCAGGAAATATTTCCTGCATTTATCATTTTGATGCTGAACTTAACTGCACCTGGACTTCAGGCAGAGAAACAAATCTTAGGACAAACTACACTCTTTACCGAAAAATGTAAGTATAAGGGTGTAGTGGGAACTGGGTTGCTGGGGTGAGACCACCAGGTCCCTTCCACTTATATCCTGACTCTTAATTAAAGAGAACCTGGAAACATCATGGAGTTCAGAGTCATGGCATTTCCTCAGTGCATTCAATTAATTTGTGGTTGGTGAGAGTTGAAAAAAGTTACAATCTGATACCTTTTTAGTACACTGCATAAAAGAAATGAGCATTCTCAACCCAATATTCTGTAAACAAATGTTTACATTAGAATTGATACTCGCTTCCTTGCAGTAACCTCACTAATTAGATCAAAAGCTGGGTGAGCGAGGGTACCCACGGAGAATGGCGGCACTTCGTGGGAGTGTTACTCAGAAACTCCCTGTGTTATTCACCAGCCTTGTTTTGGATGGGCAAAAAAAGATTACTTCCTCCTCTACTTTAAACAATTCCCACAATTACAATAGGTAAAACTATTAAAGCCCCTGTTACTCTGATTGACACCAGTAGTGTTTAACCTGGGGACCTGTGGAGTCATAAAGTTTCAGTGAAAAAATGGGGAGTTTGTTGTCCTTTTTGGATTGATCGCGCCTGGCGATTTGTATTTACAAATACAAATTACGTGGTCTCAGGCCTTTTAGTGTGTCTGTGACCCCATCATAGCAGCATAAATACTTGATTCTTTCAATTAAATTTTAAATATTGTTTAGGAGCTTACTTTTGCATAAGTTACTGTGAAAATGGTGAAATCAGTGTTGTTCCAAGGCAGATCTGAGGTACAATTTTGCAGCTAATAGCACAGATTTTGTCCCAAATGTACTTGTCAATCTATTCTTCAAAATAGTGCTGCTTGTAGTGCTCTTGTTCTGCCTAATCAAGACTCTAGGTAATATGATTTCAGGAGGAGTTTTCTAAAATGTCTGAAATTGTTCGTGAGAACTGGAAGGGATTCAGACTCCACAGGAGACATTTTCTTATTTTAAGTTATACTAGTGTATGGTATCTTTTTTTTATTTAAATGGTAGGGCAGGAGAATATCTTCAGTTTTATCTCCATGTTTGGCTTGACATTTCAGGCTTCCACCTTCATTAAGTGGAACTTTCTTACTCCTTCTAGTGATTCTGCATTTTATAACTTAGCCGAGCTTGTGAAACCATAAATTAGAACAGCTATTGAAAGTTAAGTTTCAATATTGTTCCTTTCTGTACCAGCACAAATTCTTTAACCACACAGTGAATTGGATTGCAGAACTATTTCCAGTAAACTCTAACCATTGATTTTAATCCATATAACTCCCCAATTGAGTTTACCATATGACTGCAGAAGCACTGGTGCAAGGGGGCAGAGAGCTGTGGATGGAAACAAACAGCTGTGCATGTTAGGGAAGGTAGGACTGCTTCTTTTCACAGCAGTGCAGGTTTACACTAGCTTAAAAATGGTCATTGAACGCCAGCCTCAAACTGTTTTTTGAGTTACGTGAATGATCTGTTTGCTTACTGCATGATATGAAAAATTTAACCCAGGCCCTATGTATGAGTTTTTATTTGTTGAAGAATTTCTCTGTGGGTCGCTAGAATGAAACAAACTTTGTTACCTTTGCATCCCACACTACTTATTATAAAAGCATATGCTGTAAAGACAGTGTATTATTCAGGAAAATCTGTCTAATTTCTATTATTTCTTGGCAGTGGTACAATTTGGCTTCTCTTTTCCCATATTGAAAAGATGTATAAAAGATTGTTACCACGAAGTTCCATGTGGCATATGTTACTAGCTATATCTATCTGTGTTTTTAAAGAAGGTCTTGTGTGGAGCTACATGATTTCACTTCTCTTTGAGATTTTAGCCTAAAATAATAATATAATACGAATTCTCTATTAAGATGTTTTTACTCTTCATTACTGCTCCTTGAAAGTTGTCTTACTAATTGCATTTCAAACTAATTGAGTCTGTGCAGGCTATTTATATGCATTTGCAGGAGCAGTACAATTATGAAAGAGTATTCATTTGCACGAACACATCATTTAGGGAGATGATCACTGGTATAAATGTCCTGCAACCTCATAAACATATCAATAATAATTTATATGTCTATGTGTTTATATAAAAGAAACCCAACAATCAGTTTGGGTTATTCTAAGAAAATCCTCTAATTTCTAACTCCTTTTATTTTTCTCCTCTTTTTTTTTTTTTTAGGATGAAAGAAGGAGGAATGACTCCTGTGACTCTTCCAGATGCACTGGGCTTCTGTGAAAGCAAAACGGAGTCATGTTCGTTTAATTATCCACATACTCCATATAGCAGTTATTTTTGTTTTCAGGTGAAAGCTCAAAATGTTTTGGGTGAAGCCTCATCAGATTGTGTTCATATACCTATGGAAAAAATAGGTAATTAAAAAAAAAAGACTTAGAAAAAGATAAAGCAGTGTATGTTGAGCTTACTGCACCCTCCTCAATTCTTTTTCCCTCCCTGTAGCATGCAGGTTAGAGAACGCTGAAACAAGTTTTACCTTCAAAGTTGGTTTATGGAAAAGAAAATAATAAAAACATTTTTTTCAATATAATAGTTCTGAAACTATTATTTGGGTTTCATTTGGTTTCAATTAAGAAGTGCCATAAAATTTTAATTGCTAGCTAAAATTACAAAGTCTCTGAAATTACATTTAGGGCCTAATAAAATGTTTCATCCTTCCCATTTTTTTCCTTAAAAATTTGGATGCTTCCAATGCAGTTGAAGCAAGTCTCTTATTAAGTTTTACTTGATGGCCTTTCCATCTAAAATCCTTTGAACTGGTTAGTAGTACAGCTGCAATTTTCAGAAATTTCTTGGACTTACTGAGAGGTGGTGAAAAATGATAGTGTGCTGTATTTATACTATGAAATGTCTAACTACAATAATATTTTTTTAAGCTATGGTCTGATGTATCCATTATAAATTGCTAACTTTTTAATTATTAACAAGTAAATGTCACATACTAAATTTTTTTGTCAAACTAAGTGGTACTTGGACTGTGCTTTTGCATTTTTGAGTGGTACTAGATGTCAATGCGATATCTGGCTGCAAATGAATAGTGGTATTATAATTTCTCCAGATCTGCCCATCATAAATGATGGCAGTAAACTCTGCTATTATCGTTTTTTGGTTAGGAGAGTTAAAAACCACCTGTTTTGGAATTGCCAGGAGCAATACTAATAATTTTTCTACCTCTACCTCTTCTCCCTCTGTGCTGTGCTGCATTTTCCTCTGTTCATTTTGGTGTAGTTAATCAACAAGCCTTTTAATTGAGTATTTTTGCTGCAGCAGTCCGTTAGTTCCCCAGCTGCACACTCCTTTGCTCCTTGTACTCATACCAGCTGTGGCTCCTCATTGCTTCCCACGTGCTCTGCACCAGCCACCTCTTTTCTCTGTGCTAACCCTTTCTTTTCCTGTTGTCTCCTTCACACTTTTCTCTCCCTCAAATCCTTTTCAACTGAATTCTTCCCTCACCTGCCATTTGGACTTAACTTTGGCACCCCAGCTCTCTTTGTTTCTTTCCCCTGATGCTGTGGCTGAGTAGTGTTCCTCAGTGTTGATACAGGTGAAAGAAATCTGCACACCTGAGAGCAAGTTTGTGACGTTAAATGGGTTACAAGTGCAGTCTCTTCCTGTGTGTTGGGTTATGTCCATGAAACAGACCATCATATGAATGCTCTGACGTTATTGGGATAGTAATTAAACTTCTTGGAACAGAAAAACAATTCTTCTCTTATAGAAGCATTTTCCCCTGTTAATGTTTTTTTTTTTTCTCCATTCTAGAGAAATTTGAACCTCCTGAAATACTTTCAGTTAAAAAAATCACTGGTATAAAGCAGTTGCTTACAGTAACCTGGAAAATGCCTGAGAAGATTATCCCTTCACAAGATTTAACTTGCCAGGTTCAATACAGAAAGTCGTATTCAAACTCTTCAGTAAGCTACATAAATTTTCTTTTGAATGTTTGTGAATAATTTCTTAATGTTATGAAAAGTTAAATAGAAAAAGGCGACAACTAGTTGGAAATAATGATTAAAACCTTGTTATTTTAGTGGAGCATGATTAGGTATGCATAATCTTAAGGTCATGGTTTTGTTGTCTAGGATTATTTGTTCTCTTCTTTTTGGTCAATGTCTTTTTTTGGTACATGCCATACTTCTGAATATATTTCTGTGGAAGGCTAAGGGATGGTCTTAGGCTAAGAGATTATCTTAGGCTAAGGGATTACGCACACAGTCAGTCAAAATATTCATTTTGCTGTCGCATCGTGGTGTTGAAAACAACATTTGCTTCCAACCACAATAGTTGAGTTAGATTAAGATGTACTAATGATCCTTAATTTTCAAGTAAATCAAAGTATAAATTTTGCAAGATGAAAAATAAGGGAATTTGTTTTTCTGAGTTTGTCTTTCTGACACTTAAATTGAACTGTTACAAAAAAAAGCAGTATTTAGTGATTTGTTTCTTTCAGATGGCCTACTGTCTCCTCAGTGTAGAAGAGATTCTCTTTGCAGTCTTACAGTTTCTTCTTCCAAATTTAAGAATGGGCCAGGTTGCTTGGCCTGTGTTTTTAAGTTCGTTAAACTGAGATGTCTGCCTTGACAGATACATTTGATAATTTGATACGTTAAATGTGCAATTCTGGGAGAGAAGCATTCATCACGGTAACTAATAGTAGCCCTCAGAGCTCATACAATCTCTTGATACTAAAGATGTTTCTGATTAGCATTGTCCTCACATTCTTATGGCAATGATCTTTAGTGTAGATGCAACATATTAATTGTTGGATCCAGGATATAGTATTCGGGATGATCTGGTGGGAAGGATGGCTCAGGTCCGCCCAGGATGTTAGAAACCGAACTAATACACATTTAGCAGACCCATTCACAGTCATTAATCCTTTTGGAGTCAGGACACTGGTGTCCTTGTGATGCTTCCATGCATATGAGATCCTTCCCAAATGTTGAAGAAATTTACATTTTTGTGATGTTACAGCGTTAACTCAGAAACTAAAACCACGAGAAGAAACAAATAACCAGCTGTCTCACAAGCTGAGGTGACCACTGCTTTCGCAGGGATGCTCCTGCTGTGAGGTGGAGCTGTATCCAGGACATTATGGTGATACTGGTTTCCAGCAGTGGTAACTGCATTCATCCAGCACCTTCTGTGCCAGCACAGTGGCTCGGGTCAGTCAGTACGGACCTAATTTCAGCTCAAGTTTTTTCAAACCCCAGAGGTTTACACTGAAAAATGAAATATGAAACAAGAGGAGGGAAACATGAAAACTCCATCCATTGTGGTTCTTCTTTTTTAAAAAAAATACATCATATATCTGCATGCAATTTTATAGCAAATAATTTTTGTTTATGTACCTGCTTTCAGGAATTTGTCCCTGTCCCATTGAATTCTGCAGAGAAAACAGGATCATGTAACCTCACAGGTCTGTGGGACTCCACAGAATATTCGGTTGCCATTCGGTGTAAGAGTGTTTGTTCAATGTTCTGGAGTGAATGGAGTAGAGAGGAAAAAGCAAGCACGGAAGAGAAAGGTAGGCTCGCTATTTAGTAAGTTTTTCTTTGGTTATACTTTGGGGCTTTAGGATTTAATAATGGAAAACTATTTCAGCATATTATCAGTCCATTGAATTTAGAGTTCTGTTGTTCAAACAGAACATGTGTATTTTGTTTAAATGTAGAAGAGGGAAAACTGAAAGACAAGAAAAAGGAGTGGAGATTTGAAAGGTGATACAAACAACATGAAAGCAGATGAGTGGACAGACAGACAGTGAAGAGAGGAAAAATTAAGAGAATAGATGGAGACCTAACATTGCTAAGTAGGATAGTAGCAGAAATGTAGTGTAGCAAGTATGTCTAATAAAATTAACTATAAACACAGCAATTAAATTGCCAGTTATAAAACAAGACGAGAAAATCTTTATTAGAACTTAATAACAGAAAGCAGAAAGAAACTTATGGAAAGAGAGAAGCCACACTAATTAGAGAAAGAAAGCACAACATTACACAAGGGAAAACTTCTTTTCAGCAATTTGCTCTCAGACTGTATTTTTGAAATGCTTTGATTGATTTTACCATATTACAGTAGCTTTTTCATATAACAACAAATAGAAGATGTTTTTGTGTCTTTAAATAGCTCCTTCAGAAAAAGTGGATTTGTGGAGGGTAATTGAGTCTTCACACTCAGCTGGAAGCAGATCTGTACATCTTATGTGGAAGGTATATAGTCTTGTTGTGAATTGATAATCATATTGGTACCCTGCAGCTGGTACTGCATTGAAGTACTTTGGTGTTGCAGAACATACAACTGCCAGGGATTTTGCTGTCATCAGAAAAATCCTCCCTGAACAAAAGCAGAATTGAAAAGGCTTTTGTTTACTGAATGGTAAATAAATAGAGTTTTTTAATCTGCGCAGAAAGCGAGTGTTTAATTGCGTTCAGATCACTGGAAAATCTGATTGAAAGTCCTTAAAACTTTTCTTAAATAATATGGTTTACCAAAGTCTAGTAGTGTGATAAGAAGCTCTTTGTGTTTCAAATCTCAGTATTTGACTTTTGAACCTTTCCTTCAATGAAATTGTTGCAGCTGACGGTCCTGAAGATGGGACTGAAGAAAGTATCTTGCTCTTTTTTAATTTAATCTAGACTCTTTAATAAATTATATACTTTTGATTATATAAATAACACTGTGAAACACTTACTACTGTGTATTTTTTTAATAGCCCTTAAACAGCTTTCCACCCTCTGGGAGAATTCTAGGCTACAAAATACAGTATTTTCCAGAAAACAATGCTGCACTTAAAATGACAAACAACTCTACTGATAAGAACATTAGTTTAGTTTTAAATGAAGAGGCATATATAATATCTATTACTGCCTATAACTCTGCTGGAAATTCTCCTGAAACTATTTTGAGGATTCCATCCACTGGTGAAAAAGGTAAGATTTCTCAATATTGTGACATATTTTTCTCATTAACAAAAATATATCTTCCAGACATCTGTTTTAATTCTGTTACAGTGAGTGGAAGCAAAATTGTGCTAAGGACTTCTGTCATAGTTTTATATATATAAAACTGTGTTATGTACAAAGCTGTGTAGTCCATTGCTTTTTACTAGAACAATATTATCTGGTTGTATTTTGCTATCACATACTATGTTTTTGTTATATGTTATTATTGTTGGGTTTTTTGTTTTGACATATAGAGTTATTGGCACTTTCTGATGTCTTATTAGAATTTCTATTTTATTACTTTCTGGTTTGTATTTTTTTTTAACCTTGGACCTCCCAAATAAATTTATAGAGTCCCATCCAATTCAATCTTGTCCCTCTACTAGGTCATAAAATTGCTTCCCACAGGGCATTATTGTAGTGCATTTAATAATATCATTCAAAGATGTGTTTAATAGAAGTCCCTAAGATGTGTCAATGGAAGCAAAGAGAGAAATGTTGTGTTTATCCTTGTTTCATATGCCTTCTCAAAGAGCCCCATCCCACCTACTGCCAGGGTGGAAGCTGGTGCGCTCTAGCACAGCAGTCATGTTCTTTGGCTCTTAGGTTTAATTCTGATGTTCTCTGTGAGCCTTGTATTGCAACATCCTGCTGCCTACCCAGGATCCTTTAAGAGAGGTTGCGTTTGACATGCTTCAATTATTTCTTCTACAACATCTGTTCATGACATCAATGTAACCGTTCCCTTGGAATTGCTCAATCAAATTCCAGTCTAATCAGAAAAACTGGATATGTAGGCGTGATGTCGTCTTGTTGTAGAGGTTGCAGACTACCTCCCTGTCCACTTCTGTACACCACAATAAATGTTTTTCTGGTTTTTCCATGCTGTGACATGCTTTTTTTCCCCTACATACATCTCTTTTCTCTTTGCTTCACCAGGTCTTTCTTTCCCTGTGCTCTGCCAGGTTGGGTTTTCACTCAGTTTTTCATTACCTCTGTTCTGCGGGTTGATGGTTCACTTTTGCTTCGCTGTCATTCATGACCTTGCTGACATGACCTGCCATTTTCCTATTGCCCTTATAATCTCAAGGAAAACATGACTGTCTTTGCTACCCTTAAAATTGGTAGTAAATTGCATTGTACAATTTTACAAACAGTAAAATTCAGATTCTAAAAGAGAGACTGGTCTTTGATTCTGTATGTGTAAATCTCCTTGAGTATCATCTTCTTGAAGTCTACCGCCCACATTTTCATTGTAGCAGTTCTTACATGTTTCATTTTAAAGAATTTTGAGAACATGCATATGAACATAGGTATAAAGTAACCTTTTAAACTTCTTTTTTTAACCTTGACCAAGTTGCATACTCTTCTAAAGAAGCAATCTCACCTTGCTGTAAATGATTTGCTTTCTTGCTTCAGTTGTTATGAAGATAAATTTGCTGACATTTTCTGTTAAATTTTTAGCTCGTCAGCTTATTGAAACAGTGAGGACCTTTACAACAAATGAAGAAGTCGTTGTAGAATGGATAACCTCTGAGCCAGAAGTAGACGAGTATGTAGTGGAGTGGTATGAGGAACTGGAGACAGGTCCTTTAAGTCGATCATGGCAATATATATCAAATTCTACAAACTGGAAAACTAACAAAAGTATGTTCATTTATCAGTTACAGCTGTAACAATGTGCTACATATCTATATATGTATTTATGTATATTTACTTATAGGTAGACTGGAAAGAACAAACAAGGATCAATTCATCCAGCTTTCCCCAGACCATTTTCAAAAATAACAGTATGACATGCTTTACTGAAATCTTTGCATATAATTTAATGACAATTTTAACTCTCAAATTTCCACTTTTACATGGAAACAATTATGTTTGCTCCCATATAAAATTAGGCTACAGATTTCATGTTTAAGCACTTCAGTGGCTTGATCTTATGCCATGAATCTTCTGGTAGGGAAGCCAATGAGAGATGTACACTATTTTAGCAGAGACATCAAGTACCAAAATTGTGGGGTTTAAGTTGGGAAAAGATCACGTGCCTTCATATGTGTTAAGAGAGAGCAAGAAACCTGAAATATAATTAAGGGAGAATTCGACTTTAAAATAAGCAAGTGGAGTGATTGGTCAATCTGGCATGTTAAGTATCAGTAATCACATTTGTATTATGGCTGAACACATTTCTAAGCGGTTTTAGTGAACTTATGATGCAGGGGAAATAGGTGAGGATCTGCTCACTTTTTGAGTTTTAGAGGCTGACTTTTTTTTAACAGATAATCTCACTAAGTAGTGATGTTTTGGCTGTGTATATGTAGTTTCAATAAAAACCAAACCATGTGCAGAGTTCAAGAGATATGTGCAAAGGCCAAACTGTGAATGTTGATGTCAATGTGAATATTTCATGCACATTACCTTTAGTGAAATGCGTCTGCTGTTCTTTATATGTTTGGATCTTTTTTTTGCAAACACAGAAATAATGGTGAAAATGGTTCATATAATATATGTAATATATGTGATAAGTGAATTTTGGATTATTAGTTCTTTGGTTCTCCTCTAGTAAAATTAAATTTATCAAATTTTACAGTGGCTCCTGTTCATATAAGGATCTTTCTGAATCCTACATCAAGGAAAAAGAATGTCTAAAGTTTTCAGAAAACAAGTACCCTGCATTTTCCGAAGTGAAAAGCAACACTCAGTTCATTAATGATTAATATAACTAGCTTGCCCATGAAATTTTTCTTACTGGCTCAGACAATAGTGATTTAAATACAGTTTCTATGCTACATTTAAAAAAATTAAACAAAAAGCTGCTTGAAGTAAAATTCAAGAGCAGTTTATTACACACTGAGATGGGTGAGTCTTGAGTCTTGTGCTGAAAGTTACACTATTTCAGCAATTTACTGGGAGGAACAAATGATGTTTATAGCTGTTCTCAATATATATAAAACCCCCCAGTTTTTCTCCTCAGTGGAGAAATAGGAGATCTCCTAATAGGAGATCTTTGTTTACTCTAAGCACAAGCCACATTGGAAATGTCAAGGCAAATTCAGACTTACTGTTATCTAATGCCAGATCTGATTCTGGCATTCTTTTATGGAATACTTTTAAGGACATAAGGTCCGTCTTACTTTTTGCTGGGTTGCAATAAGCGTAAGGGGCTGAAAAAGCAGGGGAGAGCTGATATAATACAGGTATCTGCTGATAGCCATTATTCTCGTGGAACAAGCTGTGGATCCTGAGGAGGAATGGTCTCAGAAACCCTTTCAGCTGGTTTTGTCCTGCGGGGTGTAAAGCCACAGCTGTGTCCTCTCAGAGTTAATGAGAGCCACAGGTAAGCAGGGGCTGTGCCCTGTTGAGTAATTGGCTGCTGGATTGCTCAGAGTTCAAAACTTCATTTCCAGAAGTTTGATTTGTGTCTTGAAACACATAAAATCCCACTGCGGAGGTTCTGCTTGTACAATTCTGCTTTTGAGTCAAGCTGGCTAGAAGCAGATCTGCAGATGGTGTAACTGGAACATCAGCCTAGAGTTAAGAGCTGGGGCTCCTTTGTGCCTTTGAAGTTGTTTGATGCATGAGACAAAACTCTCTTCTACAGAGCAGCAAACCTAAAGATATGTGAAATTAAAAATATTACAGGAAGTATAATTTAACACTGGTTATTTGAAAATAAAAACTTCATCCAAAACCTTAAGCTTTTATGAGATGAGTAAGTGGCTTATAGTGAAGCTATATCAGGCTGAAGTATAGTTACCCTTTCAAAGTGTTTCTAGTGAAAAATGAGTCAGAAACCAAGTGCTCTCATTAATACTACTAAATACAATACATTGTATTAAGGGCAGTAATGAGCATTCGAGGCAATAGGTGTACATTGTTCTTGCTAAAAGGTTGAAGAAAATAGAGTTCTGTAACAGTATATTTAGAACTGCCCTGTGATTTATTCTACTTTCATTGTGTTAATCTCATATAGAGAATTGTATGTAAATATTCCTCCTTTCCCTTTACAGGAGACTTCAAACCATTTATATGCTATAACATCTCAGTGTATCCTCTCTATGGAAATAAAGTAGCAGCTCCATATTCCATACAAACTTATGTTCAAGAAAAAAGTACGTATTTCAAACTGATTGTTTGTGTTGTGAAAGGTATGCTGCAGTCTGTCTCTCAGGGTGTATTAACTTTGAGCAATTTGGTACTGGCATTACTGAAGGAGAGATGTAGATGCTAAAAAAAACAGGATTCAGGCTTCCTGATTTCTCCTCAAAGATCAGCTACTGAATTGTTCAGTAAAGAATATTAGTATCCTGTGGTAGAGGTACATTGCTGCTTGAATCCACTCATTTATTGTAAAGTTTACATACAGTATACAAAGCATTGAAAAGAGTGTAGCTACAAACACGAAACAGTTTTTTAAACTTGCTGTCTCTTAAAAGTTACAGCTCATTTAGCTATATAATTAAACTTGATTTTAGTGCTTGACTGCATTTTCCAGTCATAATATACAAAAAACTTCCACTCACAGAATAAAATGGGCGGTTTGAAAAGCTAACTTTTTGTTCAGTTTTATAATGTAGCAAAATACTTGCAGTCCTGTGTATGAGAAATGGTAAGAAGCCATGACGTTTGCAATTGGATGGAACCTGAAATAGTGTTGGGGGCAGGGGGGAGAAAGAGGGAGAAATGTTCCTTTATTTGTGAAAGTTTAGTGTGAATTCAGTGATGCATACAGCCACCTGTAAGAACGGAGTTTACTGGTAGTGTCAAGGTTTCAGGTGAAAATGCCAAGGTGCGTGTGTGTGTATCTAGGTCTATGTAAGTGTGCGCACACACGTAGCGCAATTGTATGTCTGTGTAATTCTTACCAGCACAGTTATCATAGAATCACAGAATCACAGAATGGTTTGGGTTGGAAGGGACCTCAAAGATCATCAGGTTCCAACCCCCCTGCCATGGGCAGGGACACCTCCCACTAGAGCAGGTTGCTCAAGGCCACATCCAGCCTGGCCTTGAACACTTCCCTGTTTACAGGGAGCTGTGACGGTGCTAAAGTTTGTCGGAGAGTGAGAAGGGTGGTTTAAAGCTGGAGCACAGAGAACTATTGCTTCAAAATTTCCAGCGATGCACATGAGGTTGCATCGTGTAAGTAGAAAGACCTTGTTTAATGTGGTGGGCAAAGCCTGGGGGTGCTGGAGGCCCCGGTTGCATCTTGACTCAGCCAGAGCTGTCCTACACACACAGTGAGCTTGAGCTGGAGTTTCACCATGTCTTGCCCTTGCTCCCTCTCTGACGCCGCGAGGATAGAGCCTTTTAATGGTCTTGGGGTATTTGGATGCAGTGACACTGACAACTCTGCAAAGGCCAGCATAGGTGAGGGGAAGTATTACCAGAAGAGATCACACGTCGAAGAGGCTGAGAAAAGTTACGGGCTATATCAGAGCACTAAGATGGCATATTTAGTTGTACATTTGTTGTCCCTAATGTTACTGGTATGTGTGAAGTAACGTTGCAGTACTTAGACTATTGGACTACTTTTTCTAATTTATGATGCTTCTGTGTAGAGCCATCAGCAGGACCTGTGGCTGACACAGGGATTCCAGGGAAAAATGAAGTTACAGTGAAATGGAAGGAGATTTCAAAAGATAAAAGAAATGGATTTATCACTAACTACACAATATTTTATAAACCTGAAGATGGGAAAGAATTGAGTAAGTATACGTTAAACGTCAACGCTTTCAACAGGGCTATAAAAATCTGCTGTCTGAAGATAGCTATTTTTATAGATATTAGTACACTTTCTATGTTATAAACTGAAATATTAAAATACTGGTACTAAAATGTTGCTTACATAAAGATTAATTTTTTTTTAAGTTTAATTGAAATGATGGGGTATTCTAGTGATTAGTCTCTGCTTTGATACTGCATGTGTATTCTTGCTCACTTTCTTTGTTCTGAACATATTTTGTACAGTACTGTTTGCTCTCGATTAGTATCTTTTACCATTGGTATTGTACTACCCAGGGTAGTACAGCCATGGCTGTTGACCACATCATCCTTTCTGCTTCTCAGATGCAAATCTGATGCATCTCCAGGTGATAAATTTAGTCAGTGTATGGCAGTACTATCATTCCTCTTCTCTTTCTAGACCAGGATGGAAACTTGTATATGAGAGGCTATTTGCAGATTGTTCTCCATTAACAGTAAAAAAATCAAATTTGCTGGGTTATGCCAAATTAGAGAGTTTTATTTGTCAGATACTTGTTATTTCCCCCTTTTACGTATCTACTAGTCTCCCACAATCTTCAAATCTCTCTTCCATCATGACACATCTCTGAAGACAATGGACAAAGTTGTGACAGAAGTAGTGGAGCTGAAGTGTAGTTAAATATATTGGATAGTCATAGATCCTGTGCAAATTCTGATTTTGAACTTTGTGAAGGGTCAGTGATTTTATAAGTTCCATGCATGCCCTTCTCAGCTTCTGGAACAGTATGGTGAAAATTTTCTGGTAAAAATATTTTTACAGTCAGCTTTGCAATAAAAGCAAAATAGCAGATGATAGCCAAGAAGCTAAAATGAGCTGCCAAGAAATAGTTTTTTAGACATAAATTTTAGATTAATTTCTTCATCTGTGTTTGATTTTCTGTGCTTGGTATTGCTTTTCTACTCTGGAGGCTGATAGTGTAACTTTCTGAGCGTATTCTTAATCTCCGACTTCAGGAGTAGTATCCATACAAGGTGTCAGTATAATCCTATCTATTCATAGTTCTCTGGTCTAAATCTCAGCCGAATCTTTTATGAGAAGTGTTTTGGTGACCTAGATTTGTTCTTCCTTTATGGTTTATGAAGAATTCTATTGGATCATTCAGTGCTTCAAAAAATGTTTCTTTTTCCTCCTTTGTTTTAGACATCACTGTTAGCAGACACCTAACATAATTTTTTTTTAAAAAAAGATCTCAAACTTACAAATCTTGTGATGTCTTCAGTTGCTTCTGAATATCCAGTATGGAGCCAATGGCAAGAGTAGTCTTGGTAATTTTTAAATTAGAAAGAGGAAGCTGATTATTTCTGTCAGTTTCAGTTTTCTACATGCAATTTTTTCTGCCACGTTGGTTTCAGAGTAATTTAATGTTGACTGCTTTGCATGGGGTCATCCTCAAGTCATGCAGCCTCATGTTATGGAGCCATATGGCTTCATTTCCAGTTCTAATGTAAAGCAGACTGTGCCTGTTTTAGGGGTTCAGATTTGTTTCTTTAGGAAACTAGTTTTAAATAGCAACTCAAGAAAGTTAAATTTAGACGGCAACACCCTACAGTACTGATGTTTTCTTGGGCTTCTCTGATGTCATGTCTTTTTGATAAGAACAGAACATAGATTTTGTGCCAAGGTGACTTTAACTGATGGCCTTTTAACTCTAGAACTTCACTTTCCCCTTCTTGATTTCAAAGAAACTCAGTTTGTCTAATCTCAAGGCATATTGCAGTATATCTGTTGCCTGAGTGTTTCTTTACTGAATTAAATGATTACATGAGTTGACTTTGACTTTACGCACCAGAACATGTTTTAGTGACTTTAATTTCATAATATGAACATGGTTTTGATACTGTTTGTACATATAGAATGTTACAAAATATGTCCTGCTTAAAAAAATTTAAAAGTGAAGCACTTCATACTATTTTCAGTAATGGACAAGGTACTGGAAATGTTGAGTTTTGTTCAGAAAAGCATTTTGAAACTTGGAAAAAAATTCCTGTTGATTTTGGCTTTCCTCTGTCTTCACAGGGTTGGTATCTCAGTGCTGATAAATTGCATCCTTTTGGATGACCAGTGTCTAAGTGCACGTACTAGTAATGCAGTTCAAATTTCATGAGCTGCAGAAACTATTTTAAGTTCTTGATTTCTGAGCCTAGGTTCCAGGAAATAAAGTTCTCAAACCCCTGTTCTCAATGATAAAAGAAATTAGAGGAGATCATAATTTGCCTGTCTTTAATACTAGCAAAAAAGTGTGTATTTATTTTTAAAAGTTAATACAGAATGTGTTCCCCCCCTCCCCCAAACGTTTAAGTAGCATTCATAAACATTGTTTGGTAATTTATGTTTTCTCTCTCTGTGATCTATCATTGTAAAAGATGCCATATAAGTGTACAGTTCCCTGATGTAGCACTGTTTTGTGTGTTTGTTGACATAAATCTTCTCCTAAAAAGATGAGACAGTGAACTCTGATGTTCTGCAATACAGACTGAAGTTCTTACAGGCTAATACACAATATACTGTTTATATCATGGCAAGCAATGGAGCTGGTGGAACCAGGGGAGAGCCAAAAACCTTCAAGACTTTGAAATTCGGTAAGTAATATTCCAGGTTACTTATTAATATCTTAAAAACAGATTTGGGAGTAAGAAACGTAGGACATTTTTGTTTAGGCGTTTGTCTCTTTCTTTTAATTAATGTCAAACAAAACAAGGAAGAATTACCAACCTTAGCTGAATTTAACTAAATTTCACTTTCAACTCACAGACTGCAGCCTCAAGTTTAGAATTCAAAGCCCAAAATATTTATTTTGTGGTCAATAAAGCTGTGGAATACTATGAAATTTTGTGGGAGCAACAGTTTGTATGTTGTCATTTGTGGGATGGGGTGCCTAACAGTTTATTAAAAGCAGACATTTCCATTTGAGATGCTAGATTTGGAATAGCCATGCATTGTGTTGCATCTCTTCTGCTCTATAAACTCAACCAATGCATGAGTGGCCAGGTTGTGGCCAGTGTGTGTGTGTAAGTCTTTTCCTATTTCTTACTATTTTTTTCAGCCAGATTTTACCAAGGAGGTTGATATGATGGCTGCAGGTTGGAAGTTCAGACACCTCCTCATTTTTATTTCTGGAAGGATGTTTTCAATACATACATAAACTGTCGTAGTGGTGGCCAAACTGAAATACAACAAAATGCATGAGCTATGCTTAAACTTGTCATGGGACTTGAAGCTAATTAATTTTTTGCCTGTAAATTCATCTTCTAGTTTGGTGCTCAAATGCAAGGTTAGTTAGGCTATGCTGAAGTCTGGTATCCAGGTATTATTGCCAATACCTACCTCTGGTAGGTACTTGGAAGCTAGCTCAGAAATCTATGCACTGTTTCAGTCAGAGTAACTACATTTGTTGTGTATTTAAAACACAACTGCACTGAATTTACTGTTTATTTTGTAGTAACAGGTGGAAGTGACACTATTTGTCAGTTTTAGGTGACTCTAAAGCAATGGGTGCCCAGCAAGGTGGTAGACTCTTCACCGTAGATGACTTTCAAAGGTTGACCCTAACCAACCTGTCTCTAATTTCAAAGTTAGACAAGGTGACCTACAGATGTCCTCTCCAATCTGAATTATTGTGTGATTCTATTTAAAGATACGAAACTTTAAAATGCAATACATCTGCTTCTGAGATATCCTGAGAAGTTTCATCATGAGCTGCTTTTCTGGCTTAGTGAGTTACTGGATTCAAAATACTCATCTTTTGATGTGCTGTACAATGAGTGCCTTACAGTATTCGGAGTAATTTTTGCTATTTTTGACAGAGCTCTTTACAATTGTGCTAATTAGGTGACTTGGATGTTGAAAATTAGCTGTCTTAAGGGAATACACAAAGAAATTATAAACGTCCATGTATTTTTTTTTTCCTCTCTAAAGATAAAGAAGATGTTATTTTCATTGCTCTACCTGTTGGATTAAGCATGTTGTTTCTGTTAGGCCTTTGGATAACATGCATTTTGAATAAACACACGTGAGTACATTTTCTGCCTTCTAAAACTGAATGCAATCCATTAATTTTAACTTGTAAAAGGCAAATTTTTATAAATATCTTGTAGATGATTTTGTTGGGCTACAAACCAGTGTCAATTTAAGAAAATAAGCAATTGGAGTAACAAGTAATTACGCATACAGATTATCTTGTAATTGCAGTTAAAATGCTATAGTACAAAAATAAATATTAATTTTAGGAAGTGTGGTAAATCAGAGCAGAAGAAGTAGGAGAAAGAGGTTTAGATATCAGCTATATCAGTTTGTGGAAAACGCTACATGCTTTTTGTCGTTCTGTGGTCAATCAGGTGAGGGAAACATACTTTAAGTCAGTTACTGGAAAGTTGTTAATACCAAAAATATTTTCCCAGGCACTCTTAGTATATCTGCTAGTACACCACTAGAAGACATTTCATGTAACTCCTATTGCTTATCTTAGCTACAATTAAATTACTTTCATTAGTTTGTGATGCTTCCCATGAACTGTAAAGAACTAGAAATTGCATCATGTGAAAGCATTTGGCTGCTTGATCCATAAGTATGGATCCACATCTATACATGATTCATCCTTTTATCTGCTGTCACAGGTGTTCCCTGCTGGATTTTAAATTGCTTCCTCAGAGCATGGGGATGCTATAACATCCCAAAGATGACTATGAGGATTTTTTAAGGTTATAAAGTGTGCTTTTCTTTAGTATGAAAAGTGAGTGGGTTGTTTGGCTGAAGCTTAATAAGAAATTTAAAAATCTTAACTATTTGGGGGTGTTCTAAGCTATTAGAACCAAGATAGTTGTCATGCAAAGCATCAGGTAGGAAGTATAGCTGAAGTAGTAACTATAATTTCCAGGTCTTTTATGTCTTCATCTGTGTTGTGTATTCTGAATTTTTACAATATTAAGAAACTATGTTTTGATGCTGGAGAGTACTTTGAGATGTAGCTGAGTGTTTATATTCTTGTGTAGATAAAATTGCAATGTGAAAAGTCAAGCTATGGCCTGAGTTTGCTCACTTATATATATACCCAGTATCAATGAAGGATTGATTTTGTTTCCTGTTTACTGCTCCATTGGACAGTGCCAGTTATCTTCGTTAGTCTGCTGTTTACATAAGAGCTCGAAGTAGGTCTAGTGTGGTGTGGTGTTTGGGACATTTTCTTGGAGCAAAGTTTACCTGATGTGGCTTTTCACTGAAGAGCCACCCTTAAACATGATCACAACAGTTTCGTGTGTGGTCCTATTTTGGCATGCTGTTATTTGATCTACTATATAATAATAATAATTAAAAAATTTTGTGCATTAGTAATTATTCTGCAATGTTGCTGTAACCTGACATGTTTTACAATAAAAATGAATGTGAGGGAAACCAATGTTAATGAAAAAGATCGTGTTAACATAGGAAAGACTTCCTTTGTAAAAGTTTGGTATTTTAGTGCTACTGAGGCTTCGTGGACATTTATTAATTTTATTATTAAGAATGTATTTCTTTCATCATTTGATAAAATTCCTTTCTTAACGATAGGTTTCAAAAAGTTTGCTGGCCTGATATACCCAATCCTGCAGAGAGCATGGCAGTGGAATGGCCTCTTCATGCATCTGTGGTAATAATGGCAATTTTATGTTCTAAAGAAGGGGTCAAACAGAGAGAAGTCCTTCTCTGACAGTCATTTTATGACTACATAAGAATGAAACTCAATAGGTTTTTTTTTTCTAAGTGCTATAGAATACTTTTCATTGTATTTCAAACTAATAGAAAAGATACATCTTTATGAAGTGTATTCATTTAATTCTTACATGATAATGAGAAATAATGTTTTGAAGTTATAAAGTGACTGGTGGACATGGGTTATTAAGTAAAGTCAATTAAATTTGCTCAGCTTATTGAGCCTACTGAGTCAGATTCCCACATCTGGATATCTCCTCCCTTCTCCACAAATATGTAATGCAACATATAAAAAGATTTGATGTATTATTGTACCAGCATTTCCATCTATTTTATTGTTTTGTATTTATTCCTCATTAAAGTTTTGGTGTTTATTTGAATGAAGTGGAGTTGATCAGGTTTCCATAGAAAGTGTAGTCTGTGGAGAACGAAATTTAAACTTTTGTTTGCAAAAATTGCTGGTTAGAGTGAAAAGGATAGAAACAGCCCAAGCCTGATTCTGAGCCTTATTCTATTAAGCACAGAAAAGCTAATATGAAATGTTTAACAAATGAACAGAATAACATTGTTGTATTTAGTACTCATTCACATATAACTGCATCCCAGTTGAAATGCACATGAACTCTTTATTAACGCTCTTCTAAAATTGAGTTAAACAGAGCCCAAATGTCAATTTTATATTAAAAAATAAACAAATACATATCCCTATATAACCTTTCAATGTATCTCTTTGTACTGACAGAATAATTCATTTTTGAAGGGAGTGACATCTGAGGCTAAACCCATAGACTTTGAAGATCTAAGTGTTTTGGAACTTTGTTTTCCTGAAGAAAGTCAGGAAGGATCACTACTAGTGAATTGTGAAAACCATGTTTCTGAATGTACAGATAGTAATACAAATGGCATGATTAATGGAGATACAGAGATGCTGTATAATGAAGAAACTGAAGATTCTAAATGTTTTTCACCATGCATGTCTTATATAATTACTCATCAAGATATCAGAAGTCAAATGCATTCAGCTTCGATACCAGTGAAGGAAATCCAACCCACAGCGGTGCTGGAAGTGGATTTATGTGAATCCCAACAGACTTCAATTAAAAATGAAGAAAATGGTCATGAAGAAGTTCTAAAGCTGGAAGATTTCAGTGAAAAAGCACTGTTCAATCCATACCTTAAAAATTCTGTTAAAACAAGGCAATTTCTTATTTCTGAAAACTTGCTGGAAAGCAATAAGAATGAATCCAAAAGCCAGTCAAATGTCTTACCTCCTTTTCAACAAAATGCCACAGGACAATCCTACATAACACTGGACATGTTTGGGTTATCCACAGCTCATTAGCATAAGAAAACCTTCCTTTGTAAAGTCCCCTGGTGAGACATATCTTGGCACTGCTGCTGAAGAGTATTCCTATGTCCTAGCCTAGCCTGATCTCAGTTGATTTGGATGCAAACACCCCCTTTCTCTGAAAAACTGTGAAGTAATTTTTTGCACTGTATTTATACCCATAGTGCTCACTTCCAGTGTGGGAGTTTTTTGTTTGTTTTAGGTTGTTTTGTATTGGTTGTGTGTTTTTTTTTTTTTCTAACCAGATAAGTGTGCCACTGTTGAGGCAAAGGAAGCAGCTTTTAATATTTCTTCTTAGTTCTCCCATATTGGTCTGCTCAAGCCAACTCCTCTTCGCACCCAGCAGTGCCAGAAGCTCACCAGTGTCTCCCTGGGCAATCAGATCCCAGGGCTGAGCTCCACTGGGCAAATGTGGACTGACTTGAACAGAGCCAGGATCTGCCAAATCCTTCCTTAGGTTACATGGGGTAGAACTACTTTCCTGTTATTATTTCCCTCCATTGTTTTGTATCTGGTTTTATGTGTAGTGTTCCTCCTGTTTCGCAAATACTTGGTAGGTTTCAGGAATTGTCTTTTCACATCCTGACTCTTGAATTCATGGTTTGGCTTATAGTTTCTCTGTCTTTAATGAGTGGATATTTGTTATGTATATGCCATTGATTTATCTGCATTTTGGAAATGTTATACTGGCTTTGTTGCTTCCTCCCCTTTCTCTTGTGTTTTTGTGCTGCTTTTGCGTCTCCTGTTCGTTTGCTGCTTTCTAAAACTCTGTTTACTGCAGGATATCTTCTTGTTCCTTTGCCTCAAAGTTCTCCCAGTTTAAAACTGTTTCCCAGTTGAGGTTTTGACATTTTGAACTGGAAAAAAAAAGAAAATCTGCTAAATCTAAATACAGCATCTTGTGTTGGAATGAGCACTGAGTTTATATTTAGGAAATTATTTTTTCTGGGAGGCATTGGAAAAACACTAAGTCCACAAAACATCCCCAGTTATCCTCTGGTAACTGATTTACGATTAGAGATTTCTACATGAAGGCTGTAACTTCTGTAATTTATTTTATGATTTTGGTAAGTCATAAACCCACTTGTAGTTCCCATTTTATACAGCAGCAATTAAGTAGGAAACTCTTCATCACACTAATGAGCAGGAAAGAGGCTAACTACTGTAAAATCCTTACCAAAATATTTACTATGTTAAATGACAGGTTAAAAAAAAGAGACAAAGGGTCAACTCTAAGTAAAGTGTGTTAAAATGGGGTGTTTAGTATGACACATGTATGGCATATAGTTGTTTTAAGACTTTAAACTATTTTCACAGTATTTAAAGGCTTGACATGATCAGTGTTGTTTGTGCATATCTGAAGACTTCTTCGGGGGTGAAAAAGATACAGGAGTCATGGGGATATTAAAATAAGAGACAAATGTGACTAGGAATAGAAAGCCTTTTATTTCTGCTCAGGAAGAGGGGTGGGAGAGTGGAAAATATGTTGTCCAACATGAATGAGGAGGCTGAGCCTTACCTTGGATGCATGGGCTGTTACTTGCATTGTGTTGGAAAAGACAGGGTAAAGTTTGCATTTATTGGTTTCACCTATAGTTTGGAAGATGTTTTTATTTATAGCAATGTTTGTTTAGTTTCCAAGAAAGGATGAGAAAACAATTTCTGCAAATGGTTCCTTGTACAGCAACACTGATTTCCAACCCCCCCCCCCCC